ATGCTAACTTTCGCGCTATCTGGTTTATCTTGCCTTTGAAAGATTCTAACTTGAGCTTCGGATCCCTTACGCCGGGTTCTCCCCGGAGCTTCTCTTCTCCYTCCKTTTCAGGWCCCTGTTACTCAGTTCAGAGGCAAGATCATCGACAGCTAAGACCGGCCAGATTGTGCATCATCAGGATCAAAGTGTGAAGTCTGAAAGCACATGAGGGTGGGTTCTTGTCACAAATGAAATGTTTGGGGCCTACTATTTATAGTACTCCCGTGCATGATGAGTTTCCCCTCAAATTATTGACAACCTTAATGTATTAAGGACATTAAGGATTAAGATAAATTTAATAATTAATTAAAAATAATATTTTAATTATAAATAGTACAATTACAAAATTAATTAAATACACTTAAATTAATTAGGTAGATATAATTGCTCTCAAATAATTACTATTATTCATTAAATAATTAAATAACTGAGTAGAGTTGATAATTAAATACTTAATTAATTATGGTTAATTAATTAATGATAAGAAATTACTCTCGATAAATGATAATTAATTATCAAACGTTTTGAGAAAGTAATTTAATAGTAAATTACCATATTTAATGTATTATTTAAATTATAGTTATTTTTATTTTAAATAATATTAAGTTATGTTATAATAATTATAATAATAGTAATTATAATTAAATTATTATTGGCAATTACTTAAATTATTAAGTATAAATATAATTAATAACTATGGTAGTTACTTTTGAAAATTACCATAATTTATGCAAATTATGTTACTTAATTATTTGCCTAACTATTCGAAACTAATTTAATTGTAAACTACTATTTGAATATTTGTTAAGTAAAATAACTAATTAAAATAATGTATTATTTAAGTAAAATATCACAGTAATTAAAATAACTTCACATTTATTTACTTAATTAAGTAAAATAATTCCATAGTAATTAAACTCAACTTARATCCGTCCATTGGAATTGGGTTTAAGGCCCGAGACCAAGGCCAACGTAGATCTATCCAATGTGAGCCCAACCTGCACTAAATTTTGATTTACTCAGTTTGAGCTTTATATATATATATATATATATACATTGGGATAAGGTTGTCTTGATCTTACGTTGCCCAAGGGCTAGGCCCAGCCCAACCCTCGAAATTTAAAAAAAAAAAAAAGAAACTCAAGCATTTAGTCCTAGGCCCAACCCAAGGACTTAATATCCAAGCCTAATCCATGTAAATTTGTGGGTTGGGTCAATCTCGACCCAGGCTAGGCTCCCTTAAGTTGCATCCCTAGCTGTAGGTCCCTTTTGAGTTTAGACCTGTACTACATATGGGTCCACTAGCTTGATACCAAAATGGCTTTATATGTTATGTTATACAACAGTTGTAAGTGCAAATTATTAAACAAGCTCATGATTTAAGTTACTTATTCAATTAGGTAACTTATTTATGTACTTAAACAATCCTAATTAATTTAATTAGGTAGCATAATTATTAATTTTTATTACTAATAAAATTATAAAATTTATAATTTTAATCCATTTAAGTTATATTTAAAAAATGAAAATTGTAAAAATTAATTCAATTTTGTCAAAATAATAATAATAGTGATAATAATAATAATAATGATGATGATGATGACAATGACAATTACTAATTGAAGGTTCAATTAAATTACTAATTTTATAAAAAAAATAATTTACAATAAAATTAGTTTATCAATAAAATTAATAAAAATAGTAATATTACAAAATTAATCTTAAAATGATTAAATTAAGAAAGCTTTATAGTAGGCATATAGCCTAACCTAGCCCATGATCACACCTAATTAGGAATGTCATAGGTCTCTCTCTAATAGATCATAGCAGAATAAGGATGCCAACCCAATAACCCCATAAACGAATTTCCAACTTAAATTAATGGCTCGAGCTTTCAAAATGTGTCAGAAAAAATACAACGAAACATTGCGACATGGATTGTGTTGGTATCAGGTTGAGTGGATTGGCATGGGTTTAACTCAACCCTGACCTAACCCAACTAACCCGACTCAATACTATGCAGTTTCTGAACCTGCCCCAACCTATAGGGTTCAACTCAATACCAACCCAACTTGTTCCATAGTTTTTCAACTTAATGCTTTTTGAAAGCTCAAAAGCTATTAGTTTAAGTTGGAAATTGGTTTATGGATTCCAAAGTGAAAGAAAAAAGAACCAAAAATAGTGAAATAAATCATATACTTTAAGAATAGGGGTTAGAAGTTAGACCAAATTACAAGAATACCCTTTATATGTGTAGGGGTATTATATACCGATGGGTAGGGGTTAGCCCAACTTAAAGCAGATGAGGGTTAAATAATCAAAATTCTGAACTAATCCTACACCCAATTTGGGTTAAGCAAGTATTAGACGAAATCATAAACGTTAAGGTTAGGGGTTAGAAGTCAGACCAAATTACGAAAACGCCTCTTATATGCCTAGGGGTGTTATGACCCAATGGGCCAGGTCAGCCAAACCTTCACACGATTTGTGTTAAATAATCAAAACTCTAACAAATTATAAGAATACCCTCTATATGTGTAGGGGTATTATGACCCGATGGGTAGGGGTTAGCCAAACTTAAAGCTGATGAGGGTTAAATAATCAAAATTCTGACCTAATCCTACACCCAATTTGGGTTAAGCAAGTATTGGAAGAAATCATAAACRTTAAGGTTAGGGGTTAGAAGTCAGACCAAATTACGAAAATACCTCTTATATGCCTAGGGGTGTTATGACCCAATGGGCCAGGTCAGCCAAACCTTTATACGATTTGCATTAAATAATCAAAACTCTAACCTGACCCTACACCCTAATAACCCTGACCTTATAGGCGTGAGTCAATTCGAACTTAAACCATTTAACTTGATCCATTGACATCCCTAAGAGAGGTACAACTTGGGCTAACTCGGATTGGGAAATTGTTAAAAGTTCAATGGGCCAAACCAAAAGGTCATGACTGATGCAGTCCTCAAATCGGATACTGACTTGCATCTTCTTTCTCTCCTAAAAGTATACATATTCAAATTTGATTGGTTTATATATTGAAATTGAATTGGATCTCGTTCGGAGATTCAAATCAAATTTGGTTCATATAAATAAAATACAATTAAAATGATAAAAATATTGTATAGTCTTTCATATTATAATTTATGAACAAAATTATTTAAAATTTACTTTTATAAAACTTGAATATAAAAACACAACAGTCATACAAACATTATGAATAGACACAATATAAATATTTAGTACACATGAGCATTTATATTTGAATCCAATGGAATCGGATTATGTTGGATTAGATATATATGTGAATTTAGGGGTAGATTCAAGCCGAGTCGAGCTAAATATTTGGCTATTTGAGTTTGGCTCGTTGAAACTGTGTTAGGTTCAAGCTCGAGCTCGATTCGAGTTAGAAACTTGAGCTTGAGCTCGATTTGGTTCAAAGTTCGCAAGTTCGAGCTAGGCTCCACTTGAGCACGATGCAAGCCAAGTTTTTTTTTCTAAAAAATAAAAAATATACATATAAAAATATTTTTTATTTTAAATACAAAAAATTAAGAATTATAAAAATTATTTATTATTATACATGTAAAAAGCAAGAAAAAAATATACATATAAAATTGTGTTTATTTTACATACAAAAAAAAAGAATTATAAAAATTATTTACTATTTTACATAAAAAATAAAAATATCATTTATAAAATATTATTATATAAAATAAAAATTTCTTATTATATATATGCATTTGTATATGTATGTATATAATAAAAAAATATTTATTTATTATACTAGTCTCACGAATCAAGCTTCACTAAGCTCAAGCTCGGCTTGATTAGCAAATGAGCCTATATAACCGAACATTTTATAAACTAAGCTCAAATAACTCATGAAAAACGCGGTTTGTGGCCACCCCTAATGTGATGCAATTGTAAACGGACGGTAGCAGGCTGCGGGACCAATAATAGTACCCCACGCCAGTGATAAAATACATGGATCTCATACTCAGAGGTTGAATGAGTGTGAGCCTCATATATCTTATGACCAGGTCAACTATCTTTTCTTCCTGACAGGCATAATAAATTCATACCTTGGCATCCACTGGGAAGGTAAGGATTCCCATCGTAACCTTCCATACAATGGCAAAGATATCCAGGTCCGTTTGTTKAGTTCGTGCAGTAGGTATTGTTCCCACATGCATAATCAGCCGCTACTCTTTGCGCTTCCACGCAACTGGTCTTGTTTCGAATTGCCCAGTCAAGTATTAATGGATTTCTCAACCTAATTTTCTGAAGGTAATCCAAGTTATTTCTCATAGTCCAGAGGTCGAACACATGCGAGCTGAGCCATTCCTGCTCTGACAGAACGGAGTATGCGCATTTGCTGGCATTTCCACTGTAGGATACGCTGTAATAATTTTCAATGTATACCCAGAAAGAACTGAGGTCCTTGGGTATCGAGCTCTGGCAGCATCCAAGGCCTGCACAAGGTAATCCTGTTATTTGAGTATCCTCCAAGCATAACGAATCGCAACTAATATAGCGCACCTTGCCCATGTAGTCGTACAAATTTCCATTCATCTCACAACCGACAGACATGAATATATTTCTGATGTTGGAGACCCTGTACGCTTTCTGAAGTTGAAGTGCAGAGTAGGGGCTATTCCACGGCTTGCTGTCCCCCACCTGACACTGGACGGCGACTTGAATGGAGGTCGTCAGTTGGCCCTGCAATGATATGTTCAAGACGGGCTGGCCGTCTTGGGTCTGCAGCACAGGATTGTCACTAGAGGTGTTGCAGATCAACTTGAAATCGTAATCCATGAAACAGCTTGGATCATCTCCTATACCAAACGGGTATGGGATGCTGATGTTCCCGCAGTTGTCCTGGCAGCCAGGCTTCGTCTGAAATAAGGTCGACACTTCTGTTGCCTTTGTTATGGACAGAAGCCATGGTAAGATGAGACGAAGCAACATGGGCCAAGGCATACTTGGATGAAATGAAAATTGGGGTTCTAAACTCTGAAGGTAGTCCTGGAAAGATGGCAATCTGAAAATACTGCACTTTGTTGTTGATGAATATCATGCCACTACTATATATAATAAATATTAGAGAGAATGACGATTCAGCCCAGATTGACTTAGATTGACTTCATCTTAATTGTAAGTGGAGAGTAATTTAACATAGTAAAATGAATTAAAGTAACCTCAACTTATATAAAAAAATAGAGGTTGGATAAGAAAGATAACTTGATCAAACTTTATGAGAGAATTGAAGTACGAAGAAGGTGGTGTAAATTTTGCATCAGTTTATTCCTGCAAAAGAGACAATTAGCACAAATTTTATATCAAGTAGGTTCATTTTGAAAAGAGCAGGAATATAAATATATTCAATGCAAATACATGCAAAGTAATATAAAACCCACATATTTGTATTTGTAGTTTCGTACTCCGTCCAAACTGAACTGTAGGAACGTAAATCATAGTCACACACAAATAAATGTAAATTTGAACTTAGTGTATATCATGGGAGATGACTTGGTCTTGACTGCCTGAGCAACCTCCTTACCTGTTCCTTGAGTAAAGTTAAGAAGGGTTGGTGTGCCCAAATGTAAACGGATTGTAATTTAATGTTATTGAAAAGGGTAATTTTGATATTTTGAAAATATCATAATACAGTCGAGGGTAACATTTTCCTTAAAATTGAAAATAAACAAACCCTAACCTTAAGCTGTATTTGGTTTCATACAAAGAGCGAAGAATTTTTCAATTTTCATATTAATTAAAAGAGACCACGAGGGCGTGGAGTAGATAAAAAAAATTTGGCTGATGGGGTATGATTTAAGAATTCATAATTTCGATGAATATAACACTAAAAATATTGAAATCGGCCAAACGGTGAAAAATTAGGATATGACTTAGATGATAACGGTGATGATGAAATAGAGTTTTTTTTTTTTGTCAAGATTCTTTGTACACAATAAATGTTGCAACGCTCCACTTGACCGTGTCATTGTCTGGCAAATTAAAGGTTGCAATACAATAAATGTTGCAACCCTCCACTTGACCGTGTCATTGTCTGGCAAATTAAAGGTTGCAATACAATAAAGGTTGCAACCCTTCACTTGACCGTAGCAAATATTGTATACATTCTTGGACCGTAACCACTATTTTTTTATAAGTTTGTTAGATTAGAAGTGAATTCACACTCACGACACTGATGGTATATCCTTTTGCTACATCAGCCAATCTAAATTTATCACAGTAACCCATGTTTCAAGAGACTCCCGATCAGACCGAATTATTGGACTAATTGAATTGGGAATCGGTCATAAGCACTTTGAGTTCAAATTTGGAACTTGAAACCATTCGACCCGGGTTTGGAGCAGACAGTTGGCTGTTTCACTTGGGAACCGGTGACAAAACCATGGTTTTTAAAACTGACTTAGATACCTAACCGGTTAGGGGTTTGGTTATTGGGTTGAACGGTTCGACCGTTCAAATCAAACGGTTGGTCCGTTCTGACAAAAGAATAAAAAAAATTAAAAATGGTCAAAACCGTTTAAACGGTTAATTGCATAAGTCAGCGGTTAAATGATCAAAATCAACGGTTTTTGGAGAAAATCCGGTTCTAGGAAAAATCGGAATCAGTCACCCGGTTTTTCCGGTCCGACTGTCCGATCTGATCCGGTTTTAAAAACTATGACAAAAACAGTTTATTTTATTGTAAAGTTAATTTTGACTTCAAACTGTGGTGCCAGATAGAAACATTCCAATTGGAAAATGTTGTAGCCAAGGTGCAATTAATTAATAAAAATTTTGAATTTTGGCAATCTAAGAATTGACATTTTAATTATCACACGTCCACATGCCATTGGTATTAAGTGAGAAGTAAATAGGGTATTAAGAGAGAAGTAAATTATCACCTGAAGTGAGAAAGATATGATGTACCAGAAAAAACTTACTACCAATCAATTGCCAAGTAGTAACCAATCAGGTGTGGTTTTATCAAAATCCATGAGAGGTTGTAATTAGTAAAAGCCTTTCTAATATCATGTCTTTTTGGCATCATAGATTTCCCAATCACATGGATTTGACTATAATACTAAAAAGACACGATATTAGATAAAACTTACAACAAATTAACTATCATAAAAGTAGTAACCAATAGAGATATATGTGGTCCCATAAATGTTAGGGCCCATAATTCACATTTATAGTTCATAATATTTACCGATGACTATCACAGTATGGATACATATATCTAATGAGACATAAGTCTGTATCATTTGAAAAGTTTAGAATACAAACATAAAGTCAAGAAATAGTTGAGGAGACAAATTAAAATACTTCGATCAAATTGAGGCGGCAAATATTTCTCTGATTAATTCAGAGACTACTTAAAGACAATGGAATTATACCACAATTGTCTCCCCCTACAACACCATAATTAATTGGTGTCTCAAAAAGAAGCAATCTAATTTTACTAAATATGGTCGAATCACTTTTTGTCCACTTAGAGTTACCCATATCCTTCTAGGGACACAACTTAGAGATTGTGATTTATATTTTGAATCTGGTTCTAACTAAGTTCCCAAGAGTACTTTTGAGCTTTGGACTATCAAGAATCAAGTGTTAAACACATTAAGGTATGAGGTTTTTGAACACATGTCAAAAAGACAAGTGCAGACAAATTGAAATCCAAAACTAGTCATTGGCTATTTATAGGCTACCCAAAGGACTCTATGAAGTACCTCTTTTATGACACGAGTGTTCTTGATGAAGAAAATTCAGGAATAGTGAGAGACATCCCACAAGTTCCAAATACCAACACCTAGTTTAAAAGATCTACCTAGGTGTTTAGACCTCCTATTCATTTTGGTTATTATCAAGAAAGTTAATTGACGGAAACCATGGACAGCGAAAAAAAACCCGAACATATATGAAAACTATATTAAATATAGACTCCCTAAAGTGGAAAGATGCCATAAATGCCAAATGGGCTCAATGAAAACCATCAAAGTATGGACTCTAATAGACCTACCCCCAAGTTAAAAGCAATTCGTTTCAAGTGAATCTACAAAAGGAAAAAAAGGCCCTGATGGAAAGGATGAGACATACAAAAATCTACTAGTGGCAAAAGGTTACATTAAAAGAGAAGGAATCGATTATGAGGAGACCCTTTTTCCCATGGTCATGCTAAATTTCATTACAATACTATTGGCAATAGCTATTGTCGATACAAATTTTGTGTATTTGATTAACACAAAGTATGGAGACAAATTACAAAAAAAAATATTGTATAATAAAAAGAATGCAAGGGAATTAAACACTCTTTGATCTCCGCTCGGTGACGTGAACAACCTTTAATCAACAGTTGAATTCAATAAACACGAAAGCCACTGGCATATTTCTTGTATTTCTTGAAGTGTCGATGCAAATTTCCTTTATTTTAGTGCTTTTGAAGACTTGATGTAATTTCTTTTCACTCTGAGCTTCGTACTTGATAGGATGTGAAGGATGCTTTTCTAAGAAAGGCCCTTTTGTAGTGGCATGATCTTCTTGAGAGAGATTGAATCCAAATGTGTTGTAGGGAAACTAAGAAGTTTTCCCTTTTTTCATTTTTCTTCATCTTTAAATTTTTGGAATTTGCAAGAGCTTGTGATTCTTTGCAATCCTCAAGTGTTGGTGTGTGAGAGATTCTTTCAATGTGATTGTCAAAAAAAAAAGCTATTTCTTTCTAGGCAAGGGTATTTGTAGCCTGGGAATAGGGCTCCCACCTCAACCCACTTTGTTAACCAATACCATGTAAGTGGGGTGTTAGGTTAGGGTTTACTCCCACACATGCTCCATTATATAAGAGTTAGTGGTTTTGGCAATGACACCACCCTATTACAATAGGACATGGGTCAAATTGGACTTAGTAAACTTGGATCTATAAAAAACTTTTTTATTAAGAAGCTCTCCAAAGAGTTACCAATCTACCGGAACAGGGTGATCTACAAGGAAATTTCCTAGTGCCTATCCTTTCCTAGTCTTTTGTGGTTCATTGGTGATGTCAAATTCTGATAGGAGGAGAACCCAAATAGCTAGTTTTCTAGATAGTACATGGTGTATCATGATGTACTTGAGAGGTCTGCTCTTGAAGGTGGACAATATGTGCCAACATGTACTGTCGTGGCTTCTTTATGGCAAAGATGAGAGCAAGACAAGTTTTCTCTATGGGTGAATAATTCAACTTGGGTCCTATTAGTGTTCGATTAATGTAGTAGAGTGCTTTCTCTTTCCCTTCCTCATTGACTTGTTCCAATAAAGCTCCTAGTGACTGATCTTCTACTGTAATGTATAGGATGTGCGGCTCCTCAGGAATTCGTGCGACAAGTACTAGTGGTTTAAGGAAATAGTGCTTTATGCTCTCTAAGGCATTTTTGCAAGCTCCATCCCACTCAAATGGGGCATCCTTTTCATTATCTTGTTGAATGATTGACAATGTTTTGAATGATAGTGAGTTTTGATAGATCAATTTCAATCACTTAATGGCAAACAATGAACCCATGGAACTTACTCGAGGTGATTCCAAATGCACACTTGAGAGGGTACATATGTAATTAAAGTCTTCTTAACTTGTTGAAGATGATACACAAGTCATCGAGGTGGTCTTAGATTTTCTTAGACTTGATAACCAAATCACCAACATAGCACCCGACCTTCTTGTGAAGCATTTTATCAAAGATTCGTTGCATTGAGCGTCGGTACGTAGCACTAGCATTCTTAAGCCCAAAAGGCATTACTTTATAGTAGTAAATCGCGTTTTGAGTTTGGAAGGCTTTGAATTCTTCATCCTTAGGTGTAATGCGGATTTGAAAGTATCCAGATAAAACATCAATGAAAAATAATGCTCCATGTGCTATAGATGCATCTACCATGAGCTAAGTGATAGATAAGGGAAATACATCTTTTGGACATGCTTGATTTAG